AAAAATTTAGCAAAAAATTTTAAAAAAAGTAAGAAAAATTTATTAATTTTAAAACTGAATTAATAATGGAGTAAAGTAGCAATGGTCAATATTTGTAGATTGTAGTGCTAGATCGAAGCAGTAAGGATCTGCAGATTTTAGGATAAATGAGGACTAAAAAAAGGAACAGAGGGAGGGGGGAGGGGTAAGTAGAAATGCGTAGGACAACAAACTAGAAGAGAAATATTTGAATAGGGGAATTTTCGTGTTTCTGCTGCAGTGGGATTTCTACACCAGTTATCTAAACACCGTATTATCATTATCACTTTTATTATTATCGTCACAATAACTATTTTAATTGTTATTATTATTACCACTATTATTGTTACTATTATTGTCACTGCTAATGTTGTTGTCATTATTATTATAATTATTATTATTATCATTATTATTATCGTTATTATCATAATTATTAGTAATTTGACCAAAATTGTTACAAGTATTTCCACTAAAAAAACACACTTACTGCTATATAATCTATCCAGTACTTTTTCGGTGAAAAATCGTTTGTAGAATGGCCTCATATCGGTCCTTTTTGCGGCACGGCATATTCGAGATATTAGCATTTTATACACCTGAAATGACAATTTTAGGGTTTCGAAAATGGACTTTAAATCAAACTTTTATCGCAGTAAGGTCGTGGCCTAAACTCCAGACTCCTGTTCTCAGCCCCAGTCTGCTTGCCAAGAATATTCATTGTTTGTATCTTTAAAATTTCTAAAATACCAAGAACTGCGGCGATATAGGCACACTCTGGGCCTGAAAACAATCTTATCCGATTAAGGTAGTATAAATAGAAGTCGGGAAACCCGCAAAATATCCATTGTAATTAGTAGTGGCCTACTTTTCCCACGCACGGCACCGTGAAATTTCTTGGCGGGAAAACTAGCAAAGCTGGGACACTGAAATTTTCAGGGAATGTTCTCAATCCCAGCTGCTTTGACCAATGTCTCCTGTGCCGGTGCCTGGTGATTATATTTGGGTTTATGATGCTAAGCAAGAAAATTAGATGCTCCCTGACAGCTGGCAAAGTTCCACAACCCCGCCCAAGACAAAGAAATCTGACGGTTTGTGTACGATTATGACTTTCGCAACTCGCACCCGAGTCATTTGGGCCGGTCGGGTTTTAGTAGCCGCGATTCGTGCAGTTTCTGGAGATCAGTGCTAAAAGTTGTCTGGTAAGTTAAGTTTTGAGGAGGGGGGGGGGGTCTTCTTTGGGGTGATTCCCTTACCAGTGTTGTCTGCTTTATGAATTC